AATTTATAACTATAAATGCCTACCTTCAAAATAATCTCACATAAATATGCTAACCTTTCTCCTTAGCAAATTAGAAAAAGAGGAGCAAAGCAAATCCAAAGCAAACAGGAGGAAGAAAATAACAATTAGAGGATAAATAAATACAATAGAAAAACAATGAACAGAAATTAACCAAAAACCATTGGTTCTTTGAAAAGGTCAACAAAGTTGACAAACTGTCAGTGAGAAAAAAAGAGATGTTTCAAATTTATAAAGTTAGGAATGGAAGAGGAGACATCACTACTGACTTTACACAAATTAGAAGGATTATTTAATTGGTCATGGGATAAAAAAAGAAAGATTATAAAAGAATACTATGAACTACACAGCAAATAACAAAGCATTCACATCATGGAGACCAAGTTAATGTAGAAAAACAAAAAGAAATGACATAGATCCTTCACAAACTCTTCTAGAAAATAGAGGAGGTGGGAACACTTACCAACTCATTCTACAAGATTATTGCCCTGATACCAATGCCAGGCAAAGATACTGTAAGAAATGGAAACTACAGACTAATACCCTTTATGAATATAGACATAAAAAATCCTTAACAAAACAATAGCAAACTAAACCCAGCAATGTATAAAAAGGATTATTCATCATGACCAAGTGTGATTTATCCCAGGAATACAAGGTTGGTTTAACATCCAAACATCAATTAATATCTAATGATACAGATTATATCAATAATAAAGGATGAAAAACTACATGATCATCAACAAAAGATGCAAAAAATTTTTTGAAAAAAATCCAACATTTAGTCATGACAAAAAACCTTCAACAAACTAGGAACAGAAGGGAACTTCTTCAACGGAATGAAAGTGATATGTGTAAAACCAAAGTTAATGTGATACTTTCTGGAGAAAGACCAAATACTTCATCCTTAAGATCAGGTAGAAACAAGAATGTCTGCTTTCATTACTTTTATTCCAGATTGTAATAGAGATTCCAGTAAGACAAATTAGTCAGGAAAAAGAACTAAAAGGCACCCACATTGGAAAGGAGGAAGTAAAATTGTCTTTATTCCCAGATAATATAATCTTGTTCATAGAAAACTCCAGATAATTTACTAAAAACAACTTTAATAAATGAGTTTAAAATGAGTTCAAAATTTAACAAAATTAATAAATGAGTTCAGGAAAGTTATAGGATACAAGATAAACACACAGAAGTCAATTGTATTTCCACACATTAACAAAAAGCAATGCCATAAATAGGAAAATAATGCCATTCACAATATCATCAAGAAAAACCAAGTAAGAATAAATAAAACAAATGCAAGGCTTGTATACTGAAAGATATAAAACGTTGTTAAGAGAAATTAAAGGAGACCTAATAAAATGAAAAGACATTTCATGTTGATGGGTCAGAAGACTGAAAATTGCTAAGATGGCAATAATACCTGAATTGGCCTAAAGATTCAACAAAATTTCTATTAAAATCAGAGTTGCCTTTTATTTTTCAGAAATTAAGAAATAGGTCCTAAAATTCATATGAAAATGTTAAGGGTCCAGAATGCCAAACAATCTTGAAAAGGGGAACAAAGTTGATCGAATCCATTTTTAATTTCAAACTTACTACAAAACTACAGCAATCAAAATAGTGTAACACTGATATCAGGACAGACACATAGATCAACTGAATAAAGTTAAAAGCACAAAAATAAGACCACATTTATGGTTGACTAGTTTTTGACAAAGGCCCCCAAAAGATTCAATGGGAAGGACATCATCTCTTCAACAACTAGTGTTGGGGTAATTAGATATCCACATGAAAAAAGATGAATTTGAACCCCTATCTTATATTGCATATCAAAAGTAACTCAATGTGGATGACAGACCTAAATGTAAGCACTAAGAAAACATTAATAAATATTTGTGATGTTCAATTAGTGAATCACTTGGGCACAAGACATAAAAGAAAAACATGATAAACTGGACATAAACTTCTGCACGCAGTAAAAATTGTGAAAAGACAACACACAGAATGACAGAAAATATTTGCAAATTATGTGTTTGATAAGAAACTTTTATTCAGAATACATAAAGAACCCTTATAATTCAATAATAAAAAGACAAATAATCCAACTAAAATTTAGGCAAAGAATTTGAAGAGACATTTCTCCAAAGAAGATATATAAAAGGCCATAAACATGTGAAAAGATATTTATTATAACATCATTCGTCATTAGGAAAGCCACAATGACACAATCTCACACCCACTAGGATGTCTATAATCAAAAAGACAGGTAGTAAGTGTGAGGATGTGGATATCTTGCAGTTACCTTGGAAAACAGTTTTTGAGTTCCTCAAATTATTAACTAGAGCTATCATATGAAACAGAAATTCCACTCCTAGGTACATATCCTAGAGAGATGAAAACATACATGCAACACAAAATTTGTACGTGATTGTTCATAGCAACATTTTTCATAGTAGCAAAAAAGTAGAAACAATTCAAATGTTAACGTGTGCATGAATAAATGTGCATGTGGTAAATGTGGTATATCCATACAATGAAATATTATTCAGCCATAAAAATGAATGCATGACTGACACATGCTACCTCAAACACATTATGTTAGCTGAAAGAAGGTGGTCACAAAAGACCACATATTATATGATTTCGTTTATGCAAAATGTCCAGAAAAATGTCCAAATTTAGGGGAACAAAAGGTAGATTAGTGATTACCAGGGCTAGGAGCTGGAAATTTAGAGTGACTATCAACGGCATGACGTTCTTCACAGAGTGACGGAATTGTTCTAAAATTAGATATGAGATGATTGTACAAGTCTAAAAATATACTAACATTCATTAAATTGTACATTTAAAACAGGTGAATGTGATGTTTTATAATTTACCTCAATACAACATATTTAATGTTTAAAACTTAAAAATTAATTTGTGTTCAACCAGTCTTTCTAACTGACCTAATCAGAGGCTTGAAGGCAGTCAGCTTCTTGTTGCCTGATTTAATAATAAGCACCATCTAAAATAACTGTGTATAACAAAAGATATACATGCCACATTTTAAAACACAATTGTGGGATCTCGAGGAGCCACATTCTGACCTAGCTGAGGCCAAACAAGAGGGGAAAAGATACTACCAGGGAGGCAGGATGCATGGGACAGTGGCCCCATGACACCACCACTAGAGGTAGCAGCTCGATGGCCCTGCATTTTCTCCCACTGGGGATAGAGAAGCTGCAAGTAAATTCATGGTTGGAAGTGAGATGAATAGATTATGTTAGCTGGGGCACTTTGAAAATTGCACATATAAGAATCAGCTGAGCACAAATCAGAATGGCCATCAAGAAGAATGCTGTACCTGTGCATAAAAGGCGAATTCCACCCTGAAACACAGAGTATCTTTGGGTGCTGGTAGCCACACCAGTATGTCACAGATACGTTTTGTCTGGCCAGACTCACTTTTCTAGGAACTGCCCCTCTTCAAGGCCACCCGCCTTCCCATTCTCATAGTAATGCTGGGAAATATCATCTCGTACTACCCAATTCCCTCTTGGCCTTATACGCCTTTTCTTAATGTGGGCAATTCCTCCCTGGCATTTTAAACTGGAAATGAAAAGAATGCCAGGCCAGTATCTCTCCAGAGACTAACTCTGGAACATGTCAAATGCCAGAGCTCAAGGCAATTCTGTTTTTACCAGTACCTTCCAATAAATTCCCCTTTCTCCTGAATTGTGTTTTGGTTCCCTGTAACCAAGAATCCTAACTGATACTATTCAAGTTTAAATCGTTTTCTGCTTAAATTCTAGTCCATCAGCATTCCCACAATACACAGGACTTGGTTCCACTTAAAGGTGCACATTAGTCACATAATCAGGGGATGTTAGAGATAGCACCGACAGCAAAGGTCGTCTCTACCCACCTATCTTGCCCTTCCCATGACAAAGGTTAAGGTGATTCTGCTGGGAACACTAGACAAGCAAGTTGTTTGAGGATTACAGTAAAGAAGGTAGATATCTGAACTAAGTCTGGGAAGTTTAAAGACTTGTCCAAATCCCAGAAAAACAAACGATTAAATGCTGTTTATGGCTGTTATTATAAACCAACCAGATGCAATGTGATATAAAGCTTTCGAAATCCCAAAGAAACAGAACAATTTTTTAAATGCTATGTTAAGAGCTTTTGCAAGACCATTTCCACTATTTATTTCACTTTGGTTTAATCACGTTTTGATTAGCAAAACGAGAAGCATGATGTAGCTGTCTTTATGAAAATCAACTACTAGAATTCCTGAGAATGAAATAACCAAGGGAATGGAGATACCACAAATTTACTATTTCCTTTTTTAAAATAATGTATTTATTTAGCAAAATACCTAGCTTACCAGACTAGGTAAAGCTATCATCAAATCTCTAATTCATGTGTACTGGATTCACAACTTCTTTCCAGATTATAGCAAATGCAATAACCCAACACCACTGGGGGAAGTCAAGGTACTCATATACAATGTGTCGTATTCTGATTTTAGAACAAAATGGTGATATTATGTACTTGACTATATCCTTAAGATAAAATCTAGAACTAAAACAAACAGGTATACTATGAAAAATATTAAGAATTCTAATGGTCATTACCATAGAAAAGTGTTACTAAAATTGTGCCAGTAGTAATAATGATAGTATAATGGAAAAAGTAACAACAGAAATAATAAACCATCTAGCCCAAAGATATGTAGAGTCAGGGATGTAACTGTGTTATGTACAGGAGTTATGATTTTAATATTTATCATTGTAGAGTACATCAGATTTGCATTTCCCTATCATTTTCTCTTATTTCTTCACTAGTTGAATCAATGCCATATTGCCTACCACGAGTGAAAGGCCATTAATCAAGTTATTACACTGAGGGCAGACATAACAAAGGCGTGACACCTTTGTACACTCAGAGATGGAGGATAAAATCTACACAGAAGAGACTTAAATGCATGTTACCTAATATCCGAGAGGTCGCACTTGTTTCCAGCGATGGCCATTACAATGTTTTCCGGACCGTGTTCTTTCAGCTCCTTGACCCACTTCTTCAAGGTATAAAATGAATCCTAAAACAACAGTATACACACATCACTGGAAAGACCCCTCAGTATAATATTTCAACCAAGTAGAAATACAAGCCCTGTACAATTTAATGGAGAAAAATATTTTTAGGAGACTCTTGTAGATTAACACACTACCTCTGGCTAGGCACAAAAGTTAATGTTAGCTGAAATACACTTACATAGACCATATAAAGTTTTCCAAAATTAAAACTCGATCCAGTTAAGAAAACTGTATCTGTGATTTTCTCCTATACATTTATACAGCAAAATCAATTTAAAATGATAGCCTGGACTCTGCACATGAATAGGAATAACAGGACTAAGTAAATGCTCATGCTTACACCTAGAAATAAACCTATATATTTAGAGTCCCGTCTTCCCGTTGGGCCTTCACTCACAATCGTCCTCTAGAAACAGGCCGAGGACAACACGCCACATTTAGGTAGACGCAGTCAGGAATTCGTGGAAGGTAACAGTGATGGGTCATTAAACTAACAGTCTTAGGTGCTGAGGCAACACTCCAGAGGAAAAAAGCAAATAATTCAAGTTGCAGGAGTGGGAAAAAATGTCATCAAACCACTGCAGTTACTTGTTGATGGAAGTCTAAGACCTTCAACATGATAAATAAAAATATATTTATATTGCATATACACACACACAGATTCACTTATATACACATAAATGTTATGCTTGGTATTTTAAGTATGTGGTATGACTGAAACACTAAGAAAAATAAGCATTCCATAATTATAAAGCATGCAGAAATTAAAATCCATTTTCCTTTTCTTAAAAAGCTGACATTCTGCAAAATAGTACCAGCAGGCATGGCTTTGCCTCTACAGTCAGTTTTAAGAATGAATGGTCACTGTTGTTTAATTTAGCAGATAATATGGAATGTTTTGTTACATATACATGAAATAAACTCAATATATAGTGGCAGGCTACTGGCAAGATGCAAGCAGTGACGTCTCTGCTTCAGTCTCTCTAAGTGAGACACCTGACAAATGGCATCTAAATTCTGAAGGAGACATTCTTACCTGCTTCGTAATATCATACACAATAACAGCAGCGGCTGAGCCTCGATAGTACATGGGAGCCAACGAATGAAACTGTTTAAGAACAATGAAAGGTTTTAGGCCAAAGTGAACAGATTTTATTCAATCCCAAATTAAATACAAAATTTTTATTCTACATCATCCCTACAGGATCCCTAAATTCCTTCCCCCTCTAATTGTTTCAGGGCTCATATTATTACTTACTTTCTTTGAGACAGAGTTTCACTCTTGTCACCCAGGATAGAGTGCAATGGCATGATGTTGGCTCACTGCAACCTCCACCTCCCGGGTTCAAGCGATTCTCGGGCCTCAAGATCCCGAATACCCAGGATTACAAGCATGTGCCACAACATGCAGATAGTTTTTGCATTTTTATTAGATACAGAGTTTCACCATATTGGCCATGCTGGTCTCAAACTCTTGACCTCAGGTGATCCACCCACCCTGGCCTACCAAAGTGCTGGGATTACAAGTGTGAGCCACCAAGCCCAGCCCCAGGGTTCATATTAAATAATAAATTTCCCTGTTCGTCAACACATATATATGCTTGTGGTTTATTGACCGTGAAAACTACTCTTGGGTAAAGGCCAAAAACAAATTTTATTTTAAATGTTGCCATCCTGTGAATTTTCTTTTCTCTGCTGCTCATCATTTCTCTAATATGACTGACCCAGGGCAATCTCATTAGAATTATACAGCAGTAAAGAAAAGATGTATGGCTAGGAGAGGGAAAGGGATCACAGGCAAAGATCACAGGACCCTGGCTGAGCCATTAATGAGGACCACTCAGCAAGAGCAGCTTTGGCAGCAGCTGCCTCAAGTCTGGAGGGCTGCCACCTCTCCAATGCAGGCTTCCTCACCCACCTAAGGTCTGCAAATGACCAGACAGCAGAGGAGCTGCATTCCAAAACTTTAACAAAGGAAGTGCTGCTGGTCACTAGCATCGTTCGTCCCCAAACAGGATAGCTCATTAGTCTTGGAATGCATACATTTCATGTACATTTTGGAGAAGGGTCCAGTCTTAATCTGCATCTTTTTTTTTAAATTAAAAAATATCCTGGAGGGGCCAAGCATGGTGAGTCACGCCTGTAATCCCAGCAATTTGGGAGGCCGAGGTGGGGGGAAATCACTTGAGGTCAGGAGTTTAAGGCCAGCCTGGCCAACATGGCGAAAACCCGTCTCTGCTAAAATTACAAAAATTAGCTAGGCATGGTGGTTGGCACCTGTAATCCCAGCTACTCAGGAGACTGAGGCAGGAGAATCACTAGAACCCAGGAGGCAGAGGTTGCAGTGAGCTGAAATTGTGATATTGCACTCTAGCCTGGGAAACAGAGACTCTGTCTCAAAAAAAAAAAAAAAAAAAAAAAAAATCCTGGAAGGGTTTTGAAAGTCAATAAGAAAAAGATGGCTTAATAGAAAAATAGACAAAGATATATATAGGTAAATTTCAGAAGACATATAAATTGCCAATAAATATTTTAAAACATGTTCAGTTAGAACTGGAAGAACATCAATAAAAATAGGCACTTATAAATTATTAAACTGTAAAAAGATTTATGATGTTCAGCATTGGTGTAGGTTTGGGAAGGGAGAGATGCATACTCTACATGGAATATGCTTAATATCTTTTTTCAAAGCTGTTGGTAATGTAATCAAAAGTTGAAATGTGCATCCCATTTGACCCAGCAATTCCACTTACAGGAGTATATCCTGGAGTGACCATCACACACAGGAAGACACATCCCTGTACTGCATATGGGAGCAAACGCGAACTGACTCATGGGATAATGTTATGAACTGAATGTTTGTCTCCCCTAAAATCCATGTATTAAAACTTCAACTCCCAACGTGGTGGTACTAGGAGGTGGGGCCTTTGGGAGGTAATTAGGGTTAAATGAGGTCACAGATAGAATTAGTCTCTTATAAGAAGAGAAAGAGACCAGATCTCTCTTCTCTCCCCGCCCTGCCCCTATGTGAGATACAGCAAGAAGGTGAGTATTTGTATACCCATCTGCAATGGGGCTCTCACAGGCAATGAATCTGCTAGCACTTTGATCTTGGACTTCCCAGCTCCCAAACGTTAAGAAATAAATGTGTGTCGTTTAAGCCACCCAGTCTATGTTATTTTGTGCACAGATTAAGACATATATGTATGTAATGATATCCTATAACCATTGAAATGATGATTTTTATTTATAGAAAAAGATATCTTTGACATACTATTAAATGAAAACGTCTCAAAGCAGCACATATAGCATATAATGTATCATTTATTATGTGCTTAATTTATCATTATATGATAATATAATGTAGGGTAAAATGTGTGTGGGAGTATGTCTCTGCATGCAGAAATAACATGAGGTCCCTCTAAATCTTAAGAGGTGGGATTTACAGTGATTTTTACATTTTCCTTATAAGCATTTGTATAGCATAAATTTTTAGAATGAGTTTTAAGTAATATGGCTTTTAAGTTTTGAACAAAGCAGCTGTTTTTTATTAGGCAGTGGGGAGAGAGCAGGGAGGAAGGAGAAGTGGATCCTGAAGCCTTTCTGGCAAGTGCCAAAACCCGAACTCATTATTTGCTTTCCCACAATACTCATCATTGGATCAATACTTGCCAAACTGAAATGATGATATTTGGAAATCTGAAGCACACGGAATCCCCAGGTTTCCCTGTTACTGCACTGAGGAATGCAGTCAAGGCACTCACAACAGTGTGGAAAGGAAGCGGCTACCCTCCCTGCCTCCAGACCCTCCATGCAGGACTCCATCCTGAAGAGAAAGGACCCTGGAGCCTCCGTGGGTTTCAGAAAAGAGAGAGGTTTCTCAGGGTGAACCAAAGAGTTCACAGTTGAACTGTGCATTGGCCGAAGATGCTAAAGAGCCGCCGGCCCCACCCACTGCCCCCATTCCAGAACACACTTGGGGACAGCAGCATTTGCCATGCATGCCTTTCCATACTCACTGACTGCCCAACACTGTGTTTGGCATAATTATTAGGCATCCATAAATCTATTTTTAACTCGCCATTTGGCAATCAACTCCTTACATGTAAAAAACAAAATCAGAATTCCTGCCCAAAGGGAGGAAAAAGCCATAAATTTTTTGGAAACATTCATGCTTTGCAAAGGCGCAGATAAAGTCTCCTTTTACCCAATTATACAAAATGCCCATTTTTTTTTCAAAATAGCCTCCATATAAGAGTGGTTCATGTAAACACACAAAGTAGCAGTCAGTACAAAGTTTATTTCCCAAAAGTGAAGATATTCATGGACTCAAGCTCAAAGAGGAGCAAACTGCGGGTGTCTTCTAAGACAGAGTTCATTTTAGGCTAAAACACCATGAACTGAATCTAAAACAGTCACTGGTGTGGAAGTCTGATGAATTATTGAAGAGATCTTGGTATATAATGCATTACTCATTCTTTCCTTCCTCCAAATGGAATCACTTTGAAATAAATCTGTTGGTGAAACCACTTAAATGACTTTATTACTGGGGACTTGAGGGTTTTAATGAGTTAGAAGTTCACGTCTCAGTTCCAAAACCCAATAATGCATTGACCAAAGGATGATCTTGGTGGAGGACACAAAGATAAATCACTTCTAGTCTACAACGTATATACTTTTCCCCCTTACAAATAGAAAACAAAAGCACCACCATCAGCCTTAGTAGTCAACACGACATAATTCAATTCCTGTGGGGTCAGAATTAAGACTGATGGAATGCTCACATAAAAAGATTCTTCTAGAAATAAAGTTCACAGTCACAGGATGCTGATAAAGCTTTATTTTTCCATCTTACCTTGAAAGGTTATTTGAAAATTAGCACAACAGATGCCAGTCCAAAATCCCTTCTTTTCTGACTACCCAACAAAACATCCAGAAGCCCAAATTCAAATGTTGAGAAAATGTTCAGATGTCACTCAGTTATTTAGAAACAGCACAGGGAACTCTGAAAAGCCAGTTCGTCTCCTCAAAAGAAACAGCTGTTTATGTCCTTAGTGTGTGTGATTATTTGTTTTTTAATTGCTGGGGGTCCCTAGGGTAGAGAAGGGTAGGGTCTTCTTCAAGCTCTTGGAGCTTCTCAGACTGCTCAGCTTCCGCAGATGGACACTAACCCTGCCCCACCTACAGCAGCTGGCAGAAAATAATCGAACATGACCTTTCTGGAAAGCAGCTGGGCAATGTGTCTCAAGAGTCTTGCAAATGTTCAGATACTTTGATTTGACAATTCCACCTCTTAAGGAAATAATCAGAGATGGTTACAAAGTAACCAGCATTCATTCGAGAATTATCAATGATGCTGAAAAACTGTAAGCAATCTCAATGCCTAACAGTTAAGGAACAGACACATAAATTTTGGCTTAGCCATATGAGGGAATATCCAGCAGCAATTAGACTCAGGTGTTTGTAAAATATTCATGGTGCGTGAATCAAGATAGCCTAGTGTGGTATTTTCCCCAGGGTCTTCTGGAAAACACTGAGCCACCTCAAGGTGGCCAGGAAGAAAGGAAAAAAAAAAAAAACAACAACACCCTTTTTTCCTGGGCAAATAAGTTTGAGAAACACCACATATAATAATGCTTCTCTGGAGGTTTACAAAGCATAATTACTGCATTAAAAGCTCTGAAAATTTCTACAGTAAAGAAACCTATGTATTTTGGTTTTAGTTCAGAATTCCTCGTTCATTTAGAAAATCTTTTTTCAAGTAGTATTTATTAACATCTAGAGACCTAGTGTGATCAAGACCTACCTTAGGGGCAGTGGAGAGAACTGGACTCAAAGAGAGTCCTGAGGCTTGACCTGGCTCTATCCTGCTTTTCATAGTTTGTGAAACAGGTCCAGGGGTTGGGGTCGAAGACGAAGCTGAGGTTTTTCCAGCTCTGTGACAACCCTCCAGAGCTCACAGCCGAGGTGAAAACAGGCTTAGGATGGAGGCTCTCATTTTCCCTGCAGCACATGCCTCTTGTTTTCCCATCCTGTACTGCCTTATGTGTGCACACACGCACACACACACATCCGCGGGTATACACACACACACACACACACACACAC